CCATGAACTTTGGTACAGACATTAATGGTGGTCAGAGGAGAATCCTACTGATCCATGACTTGTCCTCTAGTGCAGTACAGCATTGACTATTTCATCTCTAAGAAGCTTTTTGAAGAGTTTTTATTAGTTTAGAAATGTCAGAATAGGACGTGCAGTTATGAGTTAAGGATTCTGATCTGTTTTTGGTTCCATGCCTTGTGTTCTACTGTTTTGCCCATGTTTGCTCTTTGTTTTGTTGATCCTATTTAACTTTGTTTTTGGTTCTGTGTTTCTCTGTGTAGCCTTGTTTACTATTTGTTATTATATTATTATTTTATTATTATTATTCTTATATTATTTTATTATTATTATTATTATTATTATTTGCATGTTTAGGTTTACTTAGGATCTGTCTTGTCTCTTATCTTAGTTCTTAGTCTTGCATTTTAGTTCTTTGCCTTAGTTCTTAGTTATGTGCTTTAGTTCATGTTATTCCTGGTCTGTATTTCTGTGTTTCATTATTTGATCTTGTCTTGTTTAGAGTTTTGTAGCTTAGTTTATGCATGTTTTTTTTACCTGTTCAAGTCCTTAGTCCTATTGTCTCCATGTTTTTGCGTAGTCCTGTCTCCTGTTTGATCCGGTCTCAGTCCATGCCCTGATTTTGCAGTCTTTCCATCTTTTGTGTTTTACTTTGGTAGAGCTGTCCTGGTGTGTTCCCGTGTACTTTACTTCCTGTTTTATTCTGAAGCTGTCTGTGTTTAGCTTTGCTTCCTATTCTTTTCTCCTTGATATTATCCACCTGTTTTATGTTCCCACCGCGCTTGTTTGCCTCACTACTTAATGCCTATGTTCCGTTCAGTTGGTGTGGGATCAATGTGGTTTATTGCTTGTAGCTTATGGATGCTTTGTAACATCTGTTCGTCTCTGACTCATGTTCCGTCTGCCTGGCCAGCTTGTGGATTATTATCATCTTGCCTTCTTTGGATTTTACTTTTGGACTCAGCCACTGTAAGTGTGCATGTTTTTGGTTAATAAATCACTGGACTTTGTCTGCTCAGCTCTGGTGTCCGGCGTTTGGGTCCTCGACTAGCTCACACACGCTGCAAAACCGTAACACGTGTAGAATGTGGAAACAATGCAGTTTGTCCATAGCATCAATGCCTTCCACTTGCAGGAACTGCTGACACACTCCAGCCACATGAGGTCTAGCATTGTCTTGCATTAGGAGGAACCCAGGGCCAACCGCACCAGCATATGGTCTCACAAGAGGTCTGAGGATCTCATCTCGGTACCTAACGGCAGTCAGGCTACCTCTGGCGAGCTGTGCGGCCCCCCAAAGAAATGCCACCCCACACCATTACTGACCCACCGCCAAACCGGTCATGCTGGAGGATGTTGCAGGCAGCAGAACGTTCTCCACGGCAACTCCAGACTCTGTCACGTCTGTCACATGTGCTCAGTGTGAACCTGCTTTCATCTGTGAAGAGCACGGGGCGCCAGTGGCGAATTTGCCAATCTTGGTGTTCTCTGGCAAATGCCAAACGTCCTGCACAGTGTTGGGCTGTAAGCACAACCCCCACCTGTGGACGTCGGGCCCTCATACCAGCCTCATGGAGTCTGTTTCTGACTGTTTGAGCAGACACATGCACATTTGTGGCCTGCTGGAGGTCATTTTGCAGGGCTCTGGCAGTGCTCCTCCTGATCCTCCTTGCACAAAGGCGGAGGTAGCGGTCCTGCTGCTGGGTTGTTGCCCTCCTACGGCCTCCTCCACGTCTCCTGATGTACTGGCCTGTCTCCTGGTAGCGCCTCCATGCTCTGGACACTATGCTGACAGACACAGCAAACCTTCTTGCCACAGCTCGCATTGATGTGCCATCCTGGATGAACTACCTGAGCCACTTGTGTGGGTTGTAGACTCCGTCTCATGCTACCACTAGAGTGAAAGCACCGCCAGCATTCAAAAGTGACCAAAACATCAGCCAAGAAGCATAGGAACTGAGAAGTGGTCGGTGGTCACCACCTGCAGAACCACTCCTTTATTGGGGGTGTCTTGCTAATTGCCTATAATTTCCATCCATTTGCACAACAGCATGTGAAATTGATTGTCAATCAGTGTTGCTTCCTAAGTGGACAGTTTGATGTCACAGGAGTGTGACTGACTTGGAGTTACATTGTGTTGTTTAAGTGTTCCCTTTATTTTTTTGAGCAGTGTATAATAACCTTGGTCTGAACACATTAAGTAGGACTCGTCCTTCTCTGTGGACGTCTTTGTCACACTGGACTGACAAACTGTTGATACCGAGACTCTGTGACCTCAACACGTTCATGTAGATGATACAGGACTAAGGCCTTACAATCATTTGACAGAAGATAAAACGGGCGTGAGGGAACTGTCAGTTTTGTCGTATTTCCTGGATTCTAAGTAAGTCCCATGTGTCAGTGTGGTATTACAATTTGGCAAGATAAAAGCTATTGAAAAATATTCATATAAAATACAAAAAGTTTCCCTTAAATATAAAATGAAGATGTGTGTCTCTTTCTCCACTGCACTACATTCGGCGTTGGCTTCCAGTCCATGGTTCAGATGACATGGGTGCTATAAAAAATAAATGAAAATAATTTCCTAAAAAATTAAACTGCAAACTATTTATGTAAAATAAAATAACCACACATTAGATACCAAATTAGGTGTGTTATATGGGAAAATTTTATTATTATTGTTATTATAACCCTAATTTTCATAATGGACAAGTCAGCAAGAAGGTATTGAAAATAACAACATTGATGATCTCTAAGCAAATCCCCTGTGGTTAAGAGCGAGTGATCAGACATTAACTAACCGTCCTGCTACAGCCAACATTTGGTGAAACTGAGTAAGAAGACACTGTTGGCTCCAGAGTGAATGTATTTCAAATATCCAACTTGAAAACTAACTTCACCGTAGTAGATCCAGCTGTATGAGCAGAGGAAGGTTCCCCTGATGAGCACATCATCCATCTGACACAGAACATCTTCCAGGCCCTCCAGGAACTGTTCTGGTGCTAATGAGTACAGACGGTTACACCAATATCGCCTGAACAGTTATGAAGCTGGTTGGCAGAGAAAACTCAAGTGGAATCTGCTAAACCCTGTGTTGCTTTGAAAACAATTTTCTTCCTGCTGTTCTAAGCTGTGTTCAGCTGAGAGGAGAGGATGCCTCTCTCTCATCACTGATTTGTTCAGCTGTGCATTTAGGCACAGCCATCCTGCCATCATATTAAAGTGTTAATGGAGTCGTTCAAAGGTCTTATCAGAAATAATATTTATTCGCTCCTTATGGTCGGAGGATCTCTAAATCAACATGGTTGTTTCAGTTATCATATGACCCGTTTTTATTAAGGGTTAGCCAAAGTATTTTCAATTATTGATCACTCTGCTTTTCCACCAGCTGATATCATTGATCAGTCTTTAAAAAATATCTGGAATTAACAAGACAACTGAATCAAGAGAATTACTATCATATCTTAAAGAAGAAAACCTGCTTGTATTTTTGGTGGATTAGTTTGTATATATTCACAGGGTGAGTACATTGATAATAGTTGTAACAATGGGAGGGTTGTAATGTAAAGGAATACATTTGTTTGATGTGTGTGTGGTCAGGGGGCTAATGGATAGATGTTATGGTCTAATGTATTTATTGTAAAATCAGTAAATACAATAAAAAACAATGATAGTAAAATTAATTCAATATAATAATTGCAATGAAGGCAGCTACATATAGAAATCCTAAAAAAATAACTTGATATAAAACCTCATTAGAATGAAAATATTTAATCGTTATTAGTTACTAATAAAAGTATTCCCATAGAAGTTAGATAAAAATAAAGGTTAACTAATGATAAGTACAAATAAAGAACAATAAAAACAAAATATTCAGAATAGGTTCCCCTGAGACTGAATTTCAAAAAGTGTCTTTAAACGGATGTTGGAGGTAGAGAGTTTTGGAGTCTTTTGGTTTTATGATTCAGGTCTTGAACCAATGCTCTGACTCATCCTAATAGAAAGAGGATCCTCCAACAAAATCCTGTTGGTCCTGATGTGTTGTTTCTATGAGAAGAACGTTTGAAGCAAAAATATCTAAAGCAGAGTCTGGAACAGACAGCCAGTAGAGCTGCTGCTGCCAGTCCCAGTCCAGCATAAAGGCCGATCCTTCCCCGACTCTCTGGTTGTGGTCTAACTGTTGGTCTCTGAGGTTTGGGCTCATCAGCAGCTGCTATGAAGGACAGTAAATAAAATGTCAAAACAAAAGAAAGAAAAAACACTAAATATAATCCTACTCTTTGTCAGTGGTGTCTGTGGTAACAGCTAACATTATTTACTGACATCTACTAAGTCTACTTACCAGTGACATTGAGCTGGAATCTGCCAGAGCTCATCCCATAGTTTGTCTTCACTTTACACAGGTACAGGCCCGAGTCCTCAGTCCTGAGTCTGGACACATGAAGTCTGATTCGTCCTTCTCTGAGGACGTCTTTGTCACACTGGACTCGTCTTGCAAACTGTTCATCCTGAGACTCTGGGACCTCAATACCTTCATGTAGACGATACAGACCTGAGGCCTTACGATCAGTTAACAGTTGACAAAAGATATAAAGTGAGTTGAGGGAGCTGTCAGTTTTGGTTGTGAAGGTCCACTCCAGTGTGATGTTTTCGTTCTCCTCTGCCTGATAGGAGGTCTGTGTCACATTCACTACAAATGTTCCTGTTGAGGAGACATAGAGAGGGAAAGTGAGGAGCAGACAAACTGACAACTTTAACATGTGAGCCTTTAAACTCCATCTACAGATGTTTCTGTCGAGAGTTCACTGATGGTCTCAGTACTAATCAAGATGAACTGTCAAATGTAGGCAGAGACTGACTTCTTTGGTTAACTGATTCATTAAATAACAATATGCTTTTATTTATGTTAAGGCTTGAAGGCTGTATAACAAAGGACTTCCAATAAACTGCAGTTTAAAAAATGTAATGCATGATAAAAATGACCATTAATAATAATTTATATTATTAATAATAATAATTTCCTTCCTCATTTTAATAAGGAGTGTTATGAAGAGATCTGCAGATTTAAAGGTGGTAGTAAGAAAGCTCCATGTATATTTTGACTTTTCTCTTTATAGATAACTAGTGCAGTGCACGTTCGGGTTGTGGCTGTTCTGAGTGGTCCGACTGCTGAGCACCCAGATGTGCTGCTTGCTATTGAGAACTGGGGTGTGGCTGCTTAATGTTAGCTCAATAACATTAAGTTAACCACTGCCTTTGGCTAAAAAAATTCAACATTGAAACTCAAGTTAGCTGACGCTTTGTTAGGTATAACATAGGTATAACATATACTGTAAAAAAAAAACATGTAGATAGTGTCCGTGAATTTACACATAGATTTCTGAAGGGCTGTTGTGAATCTCAACATGGGTGGCCCCCATCTGCTCCAGCTATCGCCATCTTGGCAGTGCCTGACACAGTTGTCATGAACGGGTAAGTTAGCTTTAGAGAACAAAACCCTTTCTGTACCAGGCTGTAAACATGGGGATTGAGTTGCTTTTGGAGTCTGCCTCAACTGGCCATTTGGTGAACTGTAGTTTTTTTCACATTCATTTTTCAGCCCTAGAAGTTGCCACTTGGGTAATCCTATGCCGAGGGTTAACTGAATCTTGTTTAAACTCACATGCTATCTCCCTTGGGTCCCCAGCACCCGTCACCCATCAAGTGTGAAGTCATTCAGATTAACGGTTGTCAAGAAAGAAGGAAGAACAGATAAAATAGAAAGAAAGAAAGAATGGCAGACAGAAATTCCTTCCTTTATAGGCTAGTTAGATAACCTGAAGGTGTAAACTCACCACAGACACAGGAGGTCAGGCTGATGAGCAGCAGGATGCTGCAGATCATCTTCTCCCTGTGAGAGGAGACAGAGGTGAAGAGTCATGTGATCAAAGTTCATTTATTATCCTGCTTATTACACACAGCTGACCAAAGGATTTCCTGACTGGATACCAAGTTTTGGTGCTGATCACAAAAACTGTATAGGGACATGAAGTCTGTTTTTCTCTGAAAACTTCAAACATTGTTTGTAAAACTAAAACCATCAAAGCTGCAGTGATTCTGTGTTTCTGTCACAGGATCCATAAACAGTAAATAACCAACATGTCAACTTATAGTTGTATGAAAATACTGTTCCACATATTGTCTATTAGCCTGCTACCGATCTGTGTTCAAAATACAAATTATTGATTATATTTGTTGTTACAAGGTCATGTATTTTTATTGGGAAGCATGACAATTGCATTGTTGCCTGTAGAAGCTCTGTGAATATGCTAAAATTATGATGCAAACCATAGAAGGGAAACTTTTATCAGGGGCTAAATGTTTTACAAGGAGGGCTAGATTTGGCCCAAAGGCCACCCACCTCTGTCCTTGCTTGACCCTGTTGCTATAGACATCATGTTTCATGAATAAACTTACTTAATATGTCTACAGTGAGAGTGGCTGACAGGTGACTCAAATATTTAAAATGTTGTATCAGCTGTCACAACATAAATTAATGTTCAAGTAATTTTTTTACTGTGATTTTTTTTTTTACTTGACCAAATTGCTATAATGAAAACCCAATCGTAAATACACACATATATGGATACATACATTACCTTGTGTATCTGCAGCCGTATAAGAACCAAACCATGAGGTGAGAGGGCAGTCTGATCCGGTCTGCAAGTCTGAATTCTTCTCATAAACAGGTACCAAGGTTGTCACTTGTCAGTCTTTCTCTTATGGGGCGGCAGTCCCAGTCCGTACAAACCACAATATGCAGTGTGGACTGGTAGCTAGAGAGGTGCCAGTTCACCTCTTTGGCACTGCCGAGGGGCCCTTGAGGGCTTGGAGCGCCGGGGGCGCCAAATATGTAGCAGTCCTGTCACTCTGACATCTCTACAACTAATAAATGTCCATAGGCATTGTGTGTGTGTGTGTGTGTAAAAAATTAGATTTTCCAGATGATAAGGTACTTGATAAAGTACTTTCTCTCTTTCTTTCTTTCTTTCTTTCTTTCTTTCTCACAAAGTTGTGCCACTGTACTCTCCTGAATTGTACTCTCCTCCTGTTCTTGTGCGAAGTTCTTATCCCAGAGCCATGGGATGAGAGTGTGCTCAGAGTTCTGTCTGCCTGCAGAGAATGCCCCCACACGAGCACAGCTAAAGCGAAAACTACCAAATATTTTTATAGTACAAGGCAAAGAAATGTTTAAAAACAATATAATATTCTACATGATTAAAATTGTCTGAAATCAATTAAAAACATCAAAGAGTTGACCTACAGAAATATTGAAAGATAAATCAAGGAATCCTTGCAATATCAGAGCAATCGTATCAATGAAATGCTTCTTCTACTGAGTCTAAGGACAGGTTCACCCCAAGAGGTAACCTAGGCTGGAAAATTAAGCCATTGCGGAAGTGCCAAAACTGCGGCTGGCTCTAAAAGTGAGTCACAGTCAAACAGTGCAGTGCAGTTTGGTTTGGTTTGGTATGACTGTCAGACTCAAGATGCCTCCTTAATTTTTGGGCTGATCAATACAAAGACAAGAACCCTATAGCAGCATGAACCAGTTCATCATTCACTGTGGATAGTCACGATTCCAGAGGACTCTGATAAAACTAGCAAGTTGAGGTTAAACTTTTATTTCTGCTGTGATTGCTTTGTCATATTTTCTCTCCTTGTTGTCTTGATGATCAGCTGATTGATCAAAAACAATTGTGGAAGCAATATCTTACAGAGGTGAAGAAGTACTCAGATGTTCTACTTAAAGGGACAGTTCACCCCCAAATAAAAATACTTATTATCCCACGTACCTGTTTTGCTATTTTTCCATCTAGATTGTTTTGGTGTGAGTTGTCAATTTTTGGAGATATGGTAAGTAGAGATGTCTGCCTTCTCTTGACTATAATGGAACTTGGAATGGGCTTGAATGGGAAAGAGACATTACTGTTGAGTTCTTCAAATTTATTTTTGGCACTTTGAGTCCCATCTAGTTCAATTAAGTTTGAGAGACCACAGACATTTCTACGGCCGATATCAACAAAACTCACACCAAAACAATCCAGATGGATAAATAGCTCTACAAGTAACAGGTTTTCATTTTGGCTGGAACTGTGTCGTTAAGTAAAACAATATAAGTAAAAGTCTTGCTTTTAAAATCAAAAGTACAAAAGTATTAACATGAAAATATACTTTAACCAATAGATGCCTGCTGACTGTATGACCAATAATCGAACGACCACCAGAAGGGTTTTGTTTCCGATTTCTGGACAGTTTTGCCTTTGTGAACGCAAATCGTACCAGTTGGAAAATCAAAACATTGTGTAATCTTTCGATTCATGAACTTGACCTTTAGGTGTTAACCTTTCCTTATAAAACAGTGATTACTTTAAATGTTCATAAACTTTTAGACTTAAGATCAATTGGAATCACTGATAACGCTGATAAAGATGATTATATAATTTTTAAACGGTACATTGACTTAGAAATCTTTACAGTTCCTGATAGTTTTTGCTTCAGCTAGGTGCATATCTGTGGGGTGCTTACAGTTCTCTGCAGGCAGGCAGAACTCAGGTAAGGGTTAGAAGAAATAAGGACCCAACAAGGCCACTAGCACTACAGCCAAACTGCAGTGGCGGGTGGTTGGTCCCTGGCGTGAGGGCTTTTGTCTCTCATCTTTGAGCCCAACACAAAGGTCCCAGGTTGTTTGCTTTTCTTTCCCATTTTTAATCTCATCTCTGTGCCTGTCCCTGGAGTTCAAGATGGTTTTTGGCTGGTTTGTCAGCATTTCTGTCTCATCTTTGTGCTTTTCCACCATATTGTTGAAGATGATTGAGGGTGGTTTCACTTTCTCCATAAAGTTCCCTGCAAAGAGGTCAAACAAATGTGAGTTATTCATGTTATGAGAAAACATTTCATTGAAGAAGTTGAAAAAATTACTTTGATTACTTGTGGGATTAAAGTGGGATTGTTGCAGTTTATGATGTGAAGCCACTAGGATTTTTGTTTGATTGTAGCATTTTTTAAATTAGTTTGATGACATACAGAACATTTTTGTTTACACAGGCTACATTTTTCAGTTCATTAACCAAACATGATTCATGCTGCTTTAAAAATTCAATGGTGATAGAAATTCAAGACCACACAGTTCTTACATTGGAACATGGAGAACCAAGCTCTCTTCAGTTCTACATTTGAAGAGACAGAGAGGAAAAGTGAGAACCAGACAAACTTTAACATGTGAGCCTTTAATTAAACTGCATCTACAGATGTTTCTGTGGAGAGTTCACTGATTGAGGCGCATTTTAGTCCCACAAACCCTAGATGCCAGCTCGAGCAGTCGAGGAGGAGATGCGAGGAGAGAGGAGTCGAGGAAACGGGCATTTAACAAAATGAGATGTCCTTTCCTCTGAGCCATCATTTTAAAGCGACGTCAATTAAATATGACATGTTGCACAGCTGCATCATCTGTCCACTGTTTGAGCTGTGATCTGTTAGAGCACCAATAATGAATATAATCATACGATAACTGAAAAACAAGGATCTTTCTGATTTCTAAAAGAAATGTCTACTTGTTATAAAGAGTTCTGCAGATGTTTTCACTGACAACAACTAACATTTTGAAAAACCTGCATTCTTTGTAACAGCCGGCAGGGTGAGACATACAAAACTATGATCTTTTCCTAAACCTAACTGAGTAGGCTACTTTTATTTCCTAAAACTTACCAAATTGCAACCATTTCACAATGTTGACCACGTTTTTTACGTGCATCATCAATGCACAGCAAGATGAGCTAAGTTTAGTTATGAGCTTAAATCAATAATCATCTTGTGTAGGCTATATGAGGCCATGTGGAAGTTTAAACACATATTCTAAATTTTAAGATTAAGAGAATGCGTTACATTATTAACGGGAATAGATGTTGAATTGCTTGCTAGTTAAGGTAACTGGGTTAGATAAGTAAGCTACTCACTTTGTTAAGATCGATTTGGTACAAATTACTTATATTAATGTAACACTAAGCAGTTGTTAGTTTGCCCTATTTGTTACATTGAAGTCACAAATAATGACAAATGATTTAAGAATCTGCGAAAAACTGTATGTAGCCTACTTAAGTATGGAAGTATTTGTACTTTACTGGAGTGTTCTTTTCATGCCACTTTCTACTTCTACCCTATTACATTTCAGAGGGAAAAAATTTACTTTTTTCTTCTATATTCATCTAACAGGTTTAGTATTTACTTCACAAATTAAGATTTTCTCACACAAAACATATGAATTTTATAAAAATGTTGTTGTAAATATGTTTTGTTGTAAATTAAACTACAACAGTTTATACACATACAGCTGAAACGATTAGTTGTTTGACAGAAATTGAATTGACAACTATTTTTATGATTGATAATATTAATAAATTCTGTTTATTATGTAAGCAACCCCTGACAAGTATAACCATAGCCTCCTAATAGTATTTTTTACCTTTGATACTTCAAGGGACAGTGTGTAATATTTAGGAGGATCTATTGACAGTGCAATATAATATCAATAACTATGTTTTCAGTGGTGTATAAAGACCTTACATAAGGAACCATTATGTTTTATTACATTAGAATGATACATTTATATCTATGAAGTTGTTCCTGTCTTGTTCAATAGGGATGCCCTTCTGCAACTGCAATCAGACGCGCCTATTTGAACCAGATCAAAAAAGGATCTTTCCCTCAACAAAATCAAGTAGTCTCATTGCCTCAGTCTAACCAAACTGTGACCGTTTCAAAGCATTAACCACATGTGCAAAATTGTGAAATGTGCCTTTAAAATACTGTGTTGCCTAGATATGAGAGAACACACCCTGTCTGTCTTCAGTTAGTTGAGCGGTACCTGTTGTGAATAGATGTTCCTCAACTCAAGCGTAACATTTGAAAGGCGTGTAACTTTTGTTTTACTTATGTATGATAAAACAGTAGCTGTATGACCAGGCATGATAAGGTTGATGTGTTAGTAATAAACAGTGAGTATTGTGGAAATCCCATTATCGGCGTGGCTGTGAGCTTGTGTTTTATTTTTCCACCCTCTTCAAGCAAACATTAGCTCAACCAAGAAACACGGACCCAAACTGTCACACTCTGAACACATGAGGATTGGTCGATGGGTTTGTACGCTTGTCGACGCTAACTTCTAAGAGCCATAGATTTTCTCTTTGTTGCCAGCGGTTTAGACATTAATGGCTGTGTGATGTGTTATTTTGAGGGGACAGCAAATTTACACTGTTATACAAGCTGTACACTCACTACTTTACATTGTAACAAAGTGTCATTTCTTCAGTGTTGTCACATGAAAAGATATAATCAAATATTTACAAAAATGATTATGGCTGAGATACTCTATATGTCGTTTGGAGGTCATTGGAAATCTATTATGTTGTTTAGGAGATTTGATTTAAAGATAAAAGTAATAAAATCTGTGAGGTTTAAATTTTTTCAACTTGTCATATCATGGGCTATTTACTGAAGGTGTAAACTAACCAAAGCAGGAAGAGATCGCTCTGTTGGTAAACTCCATCTTCTCCCTGTGAGACGATACAGAGGTGAAGAGACATGTCAAACTTCAACCAAAACCAAAGCAAGAGTTAAAATATACAACAGGATAAAAGAGGATAATGCAGGATACCAATATCAAAAAAAATACATGCAAGACTTGAAGATAGAGGATCTTCGGCTGTCTACACTTTTAAAAATATTTCTGCAGATGTAATTAATAGTAGGCAGGAAATCTGTGAGGCTGAAACTGTGTATTGACTTTTCTCTTTGTAGATAATAAACTGAAGGTGTAAACTAACCCAATACTCAGGACTTTCACAGAGGGGATATAGAAATTAAGCTCTGAAAAGACCGTTGAATGGAGACATTCATCTTCTCCCTGTGAATGGAGACATTCATCTTCTCCCTTGAGAGTTGACAGAGGTGAAGAGTCATGTGATCAAAGTTCAGTCATT